AACTTATTCCACGGGATTAACTACACTCAACCTTTGGAAGACCTTAACTAGCACTATTGTTCTAAAATTTTGGTATTTTGTACACTTATTTTTGAAAAATAAAGTACAATAATAATTGTAAAACAATTTTATTAACATCAGTGCATCCAATATATCTACTTGCAAAAATGTAGAAAGCGTGATGCATTTCAGATTCACATTTGTTTCCACATTTTTAGTGGACGAAACGCAAAACCAGGATGCTTCAAACATGTGCAATCATAAGAACTAACATATAATTGAACTGACATGGAACCCACTGTTGTGGTTGTATACCAAAAGGATTATAAAATAAAACCACAACACAAACATAAGTTTCCAAAGAGCTCTGTGTGAGCTTTTTTTTCTTTTTTTCTATATGTAATGCATTATCAAAAACTTACTAATGCCTTTTTCTTCACTCATGAAACAGAGCAAGGAGTTGTTTGCAGCTGTTTTATTTATCCATTTTGCATTTTGTCACTTTGTATTCCTATCTACTATTTTAAATTTTCTATTGCTTTTGTTCTTGCATAACTTCTGTTTTAGGCAGCATTATTTTTTCTTGTACTTTTAATGTTAAAGGCTATTTACTCAAGTAATAAGTTTCATGGTTTACGCTTACGTAAAGTTTTTTATTGTCTTGGCTTCTCTGAACCCCAAAAATACCAGTTGACATTTGAAAACATCTTTTGCCATGCAGACACTTCAAAACATGGCTTACAAAAGTGCTATAGTATCACTCCAATGAACAGAGTTAGGTGCTCTCAAAAATCCCATTAAGTCATTACCTGTATTTTTGAATTCCAAATCAGTCATAATTAAAAATGTGTTCTTAGCAAAATTAAACAGCCTCAGGCTAGGGCAGGCATAATATTTAAGAATACTTACAATAAATATCTAGTGTAAAACCCATATAATCTTCTTGAAATGCTCATATAATGAGTCCTTCACAAATTCTGAGCTCAATTAGGTAGTCTCAGTACCATACTGATCTTTCTACTGTCGTTTTAAGATAACAGACCTTACTGATACGTATGACAAACGCAAACTTTAAGTAGTACAGGCATTTCATTCTTAAATTCTGTCAGAACCCAAACACACACAACTTCCTTTTTAGACTTCAAAACTTCTTTTTTCAGACAGCCTGCCTCTGGACAAGTTAATCAAAAGAGAAAGTCTCAGACCACCTGATGAAGACAGCAAGTCTAATAACCAGCAAAACTATGAATTATTTGAGGACAGGGGTTTTCTGTTAGTAGAAAAAGGTTTCTGAAGAGCAGGGGGAGGAAGGTAGGTGGGGAACACAAGTTTGATAATCTTGAAGGAGGATTTTGCCCTCCTAGTATTCCATTTATTCCCAACAAGAATTTGTACAGGAAAGAGACTGAGCTTGTACTGAATCCCTACACCATCTTCAGCATAAAATAGTTCTGAAAAACATTTCTGCTCCAGACAAAAGACAAAACCAAAGGACAGAGCCCCCACATACTAGATATAAATTCTGTTCCTATGTTTCTGGAGCTACACAGTGCAGAGCTCCCTTTTTAAACCACATCCAGAGAAAATCTTTCAGGAGTTACCCAGCAGACAGGTTCCCAAAGAGGCCTATTCATACCTTATGAGACTCTCCACAGCATGTCAAAGGGCCAATAGTCATGCGTTTTTCTGTGATGTTCTCTCCTTTTCCTGCAACTCCTGTATCTGTTCTTGTATTAAATTTTGGCTTTCTTATCTTTTACTGCTTTTCTACTTTTACTCTCTCTGCCTGTTTCTCCTCCCACTTTGTCTTCCCTTGCATATCTCTTTCCTTTCTTTTTCTTTTTTCCTTTCTTTTTTTCTTATTTTTTCCTTAATTCATCTGTTCTTTCCCTACAGCATGTCTTATCCTATACTGTAAAGCACAGTTTCTTTCAGTGATGCATTTTTAAAACTGGAGATGGCTGTGTTGGAAAAAGCATAAAACTAGGGAAAATAATTCCTGCTAAAAAAAAATGAAAACCTATGCTGAGAAGATGCAAAGGGTTGTGGTATCACTTTTGAGTTCAAGTAATACTAAATCGATGTTATGGAGACACGCCACTCCCAGAAGCACCTGGCACAAAGCAGCAATAGAGGAATCAGGAGCTTAGCAACAACTGTTTCGGACTATTAAGTCTCTTCAGTCACCACACAAAAAGTGGCAACACGGACACAGGCAGTTGAGAAACATGCAGGCTATGTAAACAAATGACAAACACATCTGAGATGACCTACATACAAGGAGTAAATTATAGAAGAAAAATCTGACATCTCAGTACATTTTCAAAATTGGCATCTGGAATGGCAATGCATAACTAGAACACTTTTATAGGAGGGCACAGTTTGTTCACAAAGGACAAAAAGGAATGGTAGTGCACTGTGTACAAAGAATGTATAAAATCCTGTGATCTAGATGTTAGGAAGGCAAGGTTGCTGGAAATCTCTGGCTAACAGCAGACCATTAAAAACAGGAAGACAAACCACACAACCCATTTCTTCTTCTTTTTTTTTTCTTGAAAATAATGTCATGTCTGGGCAGGGCTTTTTTATTTATTTTTAACAGAGACATAATAATCTAGATTATGAAATAGCTGTTTGTCCTGCTATATTTCTAATTAGTTTGAAAGATGGTTTTAGAAGTTTAGAAACTGTAAAGCTGTAAGATAACTTGGGCAACAGTACTCATGAAACCCCCAGTTTCTGATATTTATAACAGCAGAATAAAGCAATGAATTTCAAGAAAGATCCCACAGGAAGTAGGATAAAGTGAAGGTAAGGAGATCTTTGATCCTATTGTTAGCTTTCCCTGCAAAAATACTACAGTTTCATAGGAACAAATATCAGAAAAAGCTGAGGAACAAAGGAAAAGAGCTATAAAAGAAAATAAAGCAAATACGTTAATACTTGGATTATTTGTACAAAACTGATCAAAGAAACAACATCCACAACACAACAGGATGAAAAGCTATTTTCTTTAACTACTGCTGTGCATAGCTAAACATAAGCTGTGATCAGATGGAAAACACAGCACCAATGATAGAAAGATTTCTATTCCTGTCAGATATTAGGGAAAAGCTCATCTCTACACCCACAAAATTGCTCAGAGTGAAAAAGGCAGGAGGGGGAGCCCAAATAATACTCTGCTAGGCTACTCCCAGGCCCACCACAGGAGCCTTCAGCCCATCAAAGGCTGCAGAGGGGCGTGCAATGGCAAGAGGAAACCCAAATCAAGGACTCCTGAGGAACATTAATCAGCTGTTGATTTATGCTGGAGAAACTGCTGGATATTAGTAAAAGAGTATCAGTGATTAACAGATGTGCCTTGTTCACTGGAAAGTTCCTTGTTGACTACTTTTTTTATTGTTTTTTAGTGAAGTAACTATGAGGATAAAGAAAGCTGAAATTCCAAATTCCCTGTAGAATTACAGTCAGGTTATTTTAGAAGCTTATACACATACATAATATTGTTAAGGAGATACTAAGTACAAGGATGATTTTCAGCAAGGCATGGTATTAAGTTTTATACAAAGGTAGTTTTATGGAAAGAACAAACCTATGAATTAAGACTAAAGGGTAGACATCAATCATTTCACAGCTATGAACTCAAAGCTACCTTCACTAGTTTACGTGGAGTGCAAGGACAGAAGTGTAAAATTTACCAGGTCAAGAACAAAGCCACAAACAAAAGAAGATCAAAACATGTGTACTGTACTGTTCATTTACTTTAAAATATGTGCTCCATATTTCTGTTCTGCTGATACATTGCTAGCATGGTTGTATCACAGGTCATTGTACTGAAGGACTGAAACATATCAAATGAAGTTAGTTTGGAACTGTGCAAACCCTAGGACCATATGAAATTATCAAATGACTGTATTTTCACATTTCTCTGAAGTGTGGATTGTAAACCTGCTACCTTCAGCAGCACCATTACTTGAAAATTAGAACATGACAGTCTCATCCTTCGGTGACCCCCACAGTCTAGGAATGAAGAGAATCAGTGACTTTTGGGAAAGAAGATAAAACTAAGCATTTAACACAGTTATTCCAAGGGTTACACACCTAGAAATATAACAGGTTTTTTTCACCATTAAATCAATACAGATTTGACTTGAAAAAAACAAATAGACTGAAAAATATGACTGAGAAAAACACAACTGATAAAATGTTCCAGTAGTAGTCTAATCTACTATTCTGCTTCAAGTCATGATTTACTACATCTGAAACACTCTTCTAACACGTTCTCCAAGACTGATAATGAGATTCCAAATGATCTCAATTATTCTTGTTAAGTGTTTATTCACGACAGATAAACAATAATGAGTCTAAATTATTCTAGCCTACATAGAAATATAAAGAAAAAAGGTATCTTCTTCTGGATGATCTTTCTGCTCTTGAAGACTACGGTAAGGTGGTCAAAATCCTTAATTTACTCTACAAATCCATAGGTATTTTGCAAAAGTATGACAGCAACCAATTTCATTATTTATATCATCATCATCGAGACTTCCATATTTTCAGCAGTTTCAAAACAGTTCAGTAACATTTATTTATGAAACTGGATGAGAAACACCTGCAGCCCTTTAAAAAATTCAGTGTATGCCATTGATTAATAAAGCCCTTAATAATCCAGCTTCACCTCTGAATGATCTTAAGTTACAACATTGCACCATATAAGGCAGCAAGGGTGGATGTTTCAGATGAGGGAAGCATGGAAAAATTATCCTATATGGGAAAATTAAATACATCCAGTGATTGGTGCCAAGGAGTGAAGCTTGGTGGCTTAGCTTACATCCTGGATTTTAAGCATAAGCTATAAATACCCATATATATACAAAAAACATTCTGTCTGTTAAGTACTGCAAGTGAAAGCATGGATTTAAAGGATATAGTTGTATGCGCATTCACTAGCAGTGCTCTGTGCAATAATAAATACTTAACCAAATGCATCACATATTTACCTGAAGTTTGGAAAACCTCACTCAGTAAAGCTTCATTTACCACCACCGAACTGATGTTTCCAACAGGATGACACCAGCTCTGATAAACAGTTTGAAGCAGAAGTGTTTGAGCTCTAGTTGCTTGAACTGTCAAATTAGGAAGTTCAAATATGCATTCTCTTAGCGGGACATGAGTTCGCTTGGTCCTGTTTAAAATATTAAGAGAAACAAAAGGAAAATCATTACTTTGATGCATAAAAGTAACAATTTAAAAACTTAGTCATAAAATACCAGACTACAAGCAGTCAGTTTGTTAGGTTGGAGCTGTGTCCCTGTTAAATTGCTTCCAAAAGTTAATTCTACCAATACTGAAATTCACCCTAAACAGGTCTTCTGTTACATGATTTAACTTTGCATCTCTCTCCAAAACATGAAAGGGAAAAAAAAATATATATATTTTATCTAATTACCTCCTGGGTTTATAATATTTAATAAAAGCAATTCCAGATGCTCACACAAAAATAAGAGCTACTCATAAAATCATGCACTTATTAAAAACACAGAAGAAATCTGTTCAAAAATTGATTTTTTTTATTTAAAAGCTTACAGTGAATCACTAAATCAGATATGTTCAGTGTTCAAAGAAAATCACATACAGACAATATCCATACAACAAAATACAAAGAGCCTTGCATTCCATATTTGTCCTCATATTCCATATCTGGCTGACACAGAGTTCATTAAGTGATTCTGATAGTCTCCAATGCCTTTTTCCACATAACTGGGGAGTAGGAAGTGGTGAGAACAGCCATTGCAAGAGTAGTACAAGGTAAAGGACACTGTGTTTGGAAATAAACTCTTCTGTGAAAATACAGTCCACTATCAACAAGAAGTCTCCCCCACAACTATAGTGAAGTCAAGCAAGTCACCTTTTCCTCCTCATTTCTACACTATTACCTGAAAATAAGCAACAGGTTGATTTACTACATCCAACAAAAGCTGTAAAGGTCCTTTAATACTGTCATATTGTCAAAAGATCTTCTCCCTCAATTCCTCGTCAGTACAGCTAACTGAAAACCATTTTATCTGGAGCAAGAGGAATTAAATCTCATCACATGTTGGATACCTATAGTATAAACAAACATCTGTACCTAAACTGGCTGTACAGACCCTTTTAAGGTAAAACGAAGGAAAACAGCACATATATATGTAACAGAGCCATTCACTCTAGATCTGAAGATTAAATTAACTACTTCCTACAGGTCACTATTTCTGCCCACAAAGATTACAATTATCTCAGCTGTGGATGTCTACACCATAGAACAAGATTTCATAGATCAAACCCATCCACAAAAGCCAATTCCATTGCTCCTCACTAAAAATAAAAACCAGGGGATAAAAGAAAAACTGATTCTGATGAAAGAAGATATTCAGGAAAGTTTTGCAGAAAATGGATGAAAATACAAATGAAGGCCAAAGAACAAACAAAAACAGATGTTGTAGACTTCTGTAATAGTAATCAGTACTCTTTACACCAAGGCTTTTCAGCCTCATAAAGCCTGCAGTCAGGATTACCTGTTTGAAAAAACACTGAGAAGGGAGGGGGGGGGAACCAGCAACAAGAATGTCCAAGTTGGAATTCACTTGAAGCTAATGCCACAACTGTGCTGCCACCTTCAAATGCCATTTGCAGAAAAAACATTAAGGAAAACCATTTCATGATCTCCCATAGGGAGAACTCAGCCTTGTGTTTGGTACCAGCAATTACCCTCAGAAGGAAGGAAAAAAAAAAAAACCAAAAAAAACAACAACAACAAAACAACAAGAAGAGCAGCCTGCTGTTTCAGTAAAACTATCAGTCAGCCAATAACAGCCAAAAGTAAGCCATGGGCAACACAGTCTAGTGTGAGGCATCCGTGCCCATGGCAGGGGGTTGGAACTAAATGATCTTAATGTCCTTTTCTAACCCAAACCATTCTGTGCTTCTATGATATCAATCAGAATTTTTTTCCAGTATTGCTTCTTTTCAAGCCATGAATTGTGATTTTTTTTTTTTTATTATTTATCTCATTACAGAAATGCACTCAACGTTCCTTTCTGTTCTGTCCTGGGTTTAGCAGTAGCATTTTTCTCCTTCTTAGTAGCTGGTGGAGTGCTATGTTTTAGACTTTCAGCCTGGGAACAGCGCTGGTAACACTGATGGTTTTGATGGGTGCTAAGTAATGTTTACTCTGACCAAGGACTTTTTGAGCCTCATGCTCTGTCAGGGAGGAGGGGGAGCCGGGAGGAAGCAGAGACAGGACACCTGACCCAAACTAGCCAAAGAGGTATTCCATACCACAGCACGTCATGCCCAGTATATAAACTGGGGGCAGTTACCTGGAAGGGCTAGATCACTGCTTGGGTTGGGCTGGGTATCGGTTGGCGGGTGGTGAGCAGTTGTATTCTCTTCCCTTGTTATTTCCCTTATCATTATTATTGGTGGCAGGAGCAGTGATTTGTGTTATACCTTAGTTACTGGACTGTGCTTATCTCAACCTGTGGGAGTTACATTCTTTCGATTCTCCTCCCCATCCCTCCGGGAGCAGGGAGAGGAAGGGTGGGGGGAGTGAGCTAACAGCTGCACGGCTTCTGAGTGACAGGCTGGGCTTAACCACGACATTTTCTTTTTCCTTTTGTTATCCTTTCAGATAACTTACATTTTCTACTATTTCCCTCTTATTTCTGCATAATATTTTGCAGGATTAGAACTAAACATTTCAGAGAAAAAGTTGCTGAGTATTTCAAAAGACAGGTTCCCTGATGCAAGATGGGGAAGGAAGAAGGTAGAAAACTTCTTTCAACAAAATTCAGGAGGAACATGACTCTGCAATAATTCCAACTGAAATAACATATTTGCATTAACAAATTCAAGTACTCAAGGGGAAGAGAGGAACATCTGCGAAAAACTGTGACAATATGACAGTGAAAAAGGTATTCTCTTAAAAAGTTTGATTACTCGTTTAATACATATTACAGCTACTGTACTGAATTTGCTAAATTTGAAACTTGAAAGTTTCACATAAAATAGTCCCTTAGAGGTAGTAACAGTGTATGATTTTTTTTTTTAACAATATGCAAATTCTACACTTACTCTATTTTAACAATCTCATAGGAGTAAAGTCTACTGGTCCTTTTCAGGTACCTTTCATTCAATTGCAGGAATGGGAAGTTGAAGAAAATAAATCTATTTTTATAGAAAAAAAAGAAAGCAAAGCAGGGGGAAGTACTGTACCATGTGTGCAGCAAATGTTGCTTAGAGGGAATTTTAACTAGACCTGGCTAGTGATGAAGGTACATTTATAATTCAGGATTTATTATAATAGTTTTGAAAAACAAATAATGCATTTAAAAGAACTTAAAATATAAGTTTGCTACCAAACTGCACCTGTTAATACAGAAAATCCATCATTAATAAGGTACTGAGCTATATTTAACCAAGTTTTATGACCCAAGAGATAGATTCAAGCAATAAGTGAAAATAAAAGTACAAATAAATTTTTTCAGTAAACCAAGTCAGATCTGTGTTTCTATATTGTATCATTAAATTTGCATTAAGCATCTGAATATGACTTCATATCAAAACTCATCACCATATTAAAACAGTTATGGCACATAGCTGGAGTCTAAAACCACTATTTAAACTGCACTTTAAAAGTTTAACAACAATAGGAATAATTATTTCTCAAATCTTTACACTCAGGAGTTAAGATGCAGTTCTGAACATATGTTCATTTAACTGAACAGGTTAAAAACCTACCAATTCAAACACTCTTCTCTAGGGGAAAATAAATCCTAATGTAACTAGCAGGATAGGCTACTCATTAAAGCTGAAATTGGACAAGTTCCAGAATAAATTTAAGGAAATATGAACAAGCAAGTCTTGCTGTGTAGTGGCATGGAGTGAAAATGAATCTGTCCAAATTAAATGATTTTTAAATACACTTTGGTTGTACCCCAGTTTGCTGACAAACTGTAATACAGACTTGCTGAAATATTTGGATAAATCTGGTATACCATTAAAGAAAACAGTTTTCTTCACTGTTTTTGAATGAAAACAGGAATTGGTCCTTATTATACCCTGCGCATAGGCACCAATATAACCAATCCATGTATGTTCATAGGCCTGCTATGAAATATCTTCAGTTTGTAGACTTCAGGAACAGCAACTCATTCTTTTAAAATCAACACCTCGGAGTGCCTGAAAGAATATACTGGTGAACAGCTGGATCCAGAGGTTTATATAGTGTCCCCAACTGCAAGGCTGGAACCTGCAAAATGTTTCCAAAAATTTAATTTTTGTTATTACTCATATCCTGTACAGTAAAATACGATTAGTTCATTTTTTCCAAAATAACAAAACCAGTAACCTGCTACTAGAACCCAGCAACTGTGTCTCAGAAGAACCTGAATGTAATTTAAATGCCTAAGTAACTTCAGTCACCATTTGCACTCCTTGCCTCTTAGGCAAAAAAACAACCTATGCTGGTTTTATATTTGACATGACCAAAGGCTTCAACTACATACCTATAATAAATCCATATTTCTACCTAATCTGATCTTTCACATCATCTTAAAGAAAATTAAATGTTGATCCTTTTACTCAATATTTAAGCAACTGGGTAAGGGAAACAATGTCCAGCTACTTTATGACAAATATCAAAAAATCTGAAGAGAGCCTGCACGGAGAAGAAGAAATGGAAAGGAAGTTAACTACTACAGTCCTGGAATTATTTAGCTGTTGCTCCTTTTTTTAATGCAAGAATGAATTCATACATCAATAACTGTTAAATAATAAATCTGCTTTGGAACTCTTCATTCCAAAAATATCTGCAAGACCGATGTCCTCAAAACCTCCTCTTCTATAGGCTTCACTAAAGGCTGCCTGGCATCTTATGTCCCGTCTTACACAGAGGAATTTTCAGCAGCTCCAGGTGCCTTAGCCTCTTACTTGTAGGGAACACCACTACTCATGCAATTTATTACAAGGGAGAAAACAATGAACTTCAAGATTCACCAAATTTTTTTCTTTTTTTTAATAAAACAACTTGTTCTGTCTGAAAACTTTAAATAAGGGATTAGAAGGGAACAAGATGATCATTTGAAAACTGACTTCTGTATACTATATTTTTAATATGAGCTCTGGAATTGAAATTGTCAGTGGTGA